GAAAGCCCCACGCAGCTGAAAGAGCCGTTTGTCCAGCCACACAGTGTGCTAAGTGTTCTGGGAGAAAAGTGTGTGGGGACTCGGGGCGATTCTTTTGGTTCACATTCCTCGGATTTCCACAAGTGCTTTTTGGCCGTACATGCTGTGGCTGCTCCCTCAGCTTCTTCTTTGTGCCAAGCTGGGATATGTTTATGGAAACTCCGCAGGCCCTGCCAGGGAACAGCCCCAGACTCACATTCTCCCATGGCTTGGCCAGGAAAGGAGGATGGGGAGGTGGGAAGAAGAAATCGTGGGAATCGGCACGGCGAGTCTTGGGTGCTCACGCGCCGGCCGGCAGCTGTCAGGAAAATGAATAAGGGGCCGGTATCTGACGGCGTAAGAAGGAAGAAAGGAAATTAAGTTTTTATTAAAAGAGATAACAGAAATGCTATCGGCCGGGCAGTTTCCTATGGCCCGCTGAGCCCAGTGATGAGGATCCCCTGGTCTACAAATGATGGACCGTCACTAACGGTCGGTGGACATACACTATGAGATTCCTCAAAGCTCTGTTCTACCTCAGACTTTACGCTCATTAAACATTTAAGACACTCGAGCCAATTCGATATGAAAAAACTAAAAATCCTATACACTTTCCTTAATCTGAGACACTGAGCTAGGTTTTTCCACCATAAAGCCTGGGCCACGATCAATCAGAAATATGTATTCAAAAGGGGAAATACTTAACAATTTTACACACTGAAGAATGAAGGCAAAAGTTCTGGCTGGGATGCAGGTTCATCACAAGAAATTCAAGGTAATACTCCCTGATTCCTTATTAAGATCTTATAGTTCTGTTTGTCACGATTGTGAGCAACTTCAAAAACCAAACACGTTTTTAAAATTACACATCAGGGGCGCATAGGTGGCTCAGTTGGTCTGACTCTTCGTTTCGGTTCAGGTCGCCATCTCATGGTTTGTGAGTTCAAGCCCTGTATCTGTCAGTGCTGAGCCTGCTTGGGATTCTGTCTCTGTCTCTCTCTCTCAAAAATAAACAAACATTTTTTTTAAAGGAATTAATCATCTCTCCCTTTATATTGATGCATTTGCCTGTCAAAGTTTGCTACACATTCAACTAATGACATGGCAATTTTTTTTTTTTTTACCTCAAATGACATACATACATGTCTTGAAAACCTTTTACCTTTTTAAAATTGTGAATGACCTAAATGATTTAGGACAGATTAAAAAAAAAAAAAAAAACCTAAAAAAAATCCAAAAGCAGATGACTTGCTCCAAATGAGGTAGACATCTTTACTCACACAAATTAAAGGTGCTTGTACGTACCTGCTTCTTTTAAAAAATTTTTTTCAATGTTTGTTTATTTTGGAGATAGAGAGACAGTGAGAGTGGGAGAGAGACAGACAGAGAGAGAGGGAGACTCAGAATCTGAAGCAGGCTCCAGGCTCAGAGCTGTCAGCACAGAGCCTGACATTGGGTTCAAACCCACAAACCGGGAGACATGTCCTAAGCTGCAGTTGGACACTTAACCAACTGAGCCACCCAGGTGCCCCCATACGTACGTGCTTTCTCAGGGCACTGAAATGAGAATAACCAAGAGGTCCCAAATAATCTCTCGTCACGTTTCCCGATTTTAGTATGTACAATTCTTGGGTTGCAATGAAAATAAATCTTTTTTTCTAAAAAGGTTTTCAAATTCAGTTATTACCAGTGAGCGGTTTGGTTTGTCACATGATTCACAGTGGTGAACGCTTCAGTACTGGTGAAGTGGAAGATGAGCAGACTTAAATGCACTCACTGGATTGGGACACTCCCATTTTCAACTTAACGGGTTATTTTGGTGTGGAAAGAGCTGAAACTTGAGTGACCAATGAGAAAACAATTGTCTGGGGCATGAGTGCTGTGTAGTGTGACTTTGGATTTTAAATAAAGTTATTTTTACAGAACCAAAAAAACCCTATACTCTCCATCTAATCATTCTAGTTCATGAAATCATGCTCATTTCTGAGTTCGTTTTAAAAATTCTAAGAAAGAAATGCAACTTAAATCACATTTATTTTTTTTTTTCAACGTTTATTTATTTTTGGGACAGAGAGAGACAGAGCATGAACGGGGGAGGGGCAGAGAGAGAGGGAGACACAGAATCGGAAACAGGCTCCAGGCTCCGAGCCATCAGCCCAGAGCCTGACGCGGGGCTCGAACTCCCGGACCGCGAGATCGTGACCTGGCTGAAGTCGGACGCTTAACCGACTGCGTCACCCAGGCGCCCCAAATCACATTTAAATTACATTTAAAATCTTTGGGGGAACAAAAAGAATGATATTAATAAAAAATTTAGTTACTACATGTGAATTCTTCATTGGAATAAGGAGTTAAAAACAAGACTGTCCCAGAATATGTGTAGCTCAGTTTATATATTCAACAGGAAACCAAAGACCGTGAATTATTAAAATCTCTGAAGAAAGAAGATGAATTTTGGAAACGTGAGACATTTAAATAAGTTTCAGTAAGATGTCTCATTAAGATGGCTCTGTAAGTTCACACACACTTAAACACATAACCTCTTTTCCAAAAAAATCAATGACAGATAAAATCAGTTAGAAATCAGTCACCTCCAAAAACAATATAAACATTTCCATGTACTCAAATTAGAGAAATACAAAGGAGCAGTAGAGCTGAAACTCCATGCTCTCTGGGTTCTGGGACAGGTTGGCCAGAATTGTGGCTCCATCAAGGGTAACAGGTCTAGAAATAGAGATGGCAGGCAGCAGCCAACCTTAATATCTAAAGCGAATTTGAAGTAAGGACTCTCTCCAAACACATCACGAAAAGAGACCAAAGAAAATCCCTGTTGACAACCAAGAAAACCAACAACTAAAACAATGGTTCATTATAAACAATTAATCTGGTAGGAGCTTGGTGGGCAGTCATTAAAATGACTTATAATGTTCGGTTCATCTTTTGCGATGTGCAAAAGGGATTATAAAATAAAACGTGGAAAAATAAAGAATGAAAAAAGTGGGTATGTAAAAAGCTTATTAGAAACTTTAGGAATGAAAACAATGAACAGAAAAGTCTCAATAAACTGTATAAGTGCTGAAATAATCACCAAGGCAGAACTAGACAATTTTAAGAAGTGATGAATTCACTTCAAGTGCATTACAGAGAAAGAAAGAAAATGAAGAACAGGTAAGAGCCAGAGGATAATTTGAGAGACTCTAATGTAATTCCAAACTGATTTCTTAAAAAAAAAAAAAAAAGGAAGGAATTACAGATGAACAATATTTGAAGATAAATAGCTGAATAACTGAAGAAATCCATAAATTTTTATACTACAAACGTATTCTGAATGCCAAAAAAAGATACACAGAATACCTTCTACATCTAGAAACACATTGCAAAATTGCAGAATATAAAGGAAAAAAGAAAAATCTTAATCTACCAAACAGAAAAGACTGCATATGTACTAGGAATAATTCTAAGTCTGGGAAAATCTTCAGGCAGCAACAGTTGAGGCTAGAAGACCATCTAATAATATTCAATACTATCTTCAAAGTGCAGAGAGAAAGTAACTAGTAACCTACAACTTTATACCCAGCTAACCTATCACTTAAGAAAAATAGAAAGAATAATAATAATAACAACAAGAACAACAGCTAACTTAAGAGAGTATAAAGCATGTATTTTAGCAAGAAGAAAAATAAAGTGAAAAATTAATGGATATAAAATAATGTTAAAGAGAAACTGATTAAAAATGCATCAGTAAATTTAATTAGTTACAGCTGAAATGACAACTACTTTTAAAACGTAAACTAAGCTCTAAGTTGTAAAACTAAGGTAAGAAATGGTAAGAAGAAATAAATTACAAAAATATATACTTATTTATTATTATCCATAGAGAGTATAAATATCTCCAGTAAAAAAATCCTAAATATTTCACATTTCTGGGTGCTATGCTGCAAACACCCCATGTTCACACTCCCTCAAGATCTCTACACTTGTTCTTCTTGTTTGGAAATGCATCCCCTTAAATTTTCTCTGGGCCTTTGTCTCTCACTTTCATTCAAGCCTCTGCTCAAATACTGACTTTTCAGAAGTTAGAGGTCAGAGAGAAGGTGACAAATCTATTTGAAATAGACCTTCTTTTATTTGTCGCCACAGGAAACTATATCCTCTTAGATGTAAGCCTCATAAAGACATTGAGCTAATGCTTGTGGAGTATAAGAAGGGATGAAAGAAAAAGAACTAAAATAATGGCAGCAGTGCCATTAGCAACTAAATACTTTCTGAAGTGTTTCTTTTTTTTACATTTTTAAATTTTTTAAAAAATTTTATTTTTGACAGAGAGAGTGAGACAGAATGTGAGCAGGAGCAGGAAAGGGCCAGAGAGAGGGAGACACACAATCGGAAGCAGGCTCCAGGCTCTGAGCTGTCAGCACAGAGCCCGACGTGGGGCCCGAACCACAAACCGTGAGAACATGACCTCAGCTGAAGTCAGACGCCCAACCGACTGAGCCACCCAGGCGCCTCTGAAGTGTTTCTTAATAGGAATGTAAACTAAAAAAATATTTGAGTAGCCTCTGGAAATGTGATTTTAAGTACTGTGATATCGCCAACTATCGGGAAAAGCAACAGACAATGTTTACACAGCAAAACCAAGCTGCATTCCATAAATTATCTCATTGAATCTTCCTAACAGTGTAACCTATGGAAAAAACTGAAACTTACAAAATTAAGGCCAGTAGTTCAAAGCTACTGAGGTAGTGAGTAGTAAAATCAACATAGTAACAGAGACCTCTTTGACTCTAACTTCAGTGCCTTTGTACCACACAGATCTTCCTACTCAAATGCCTCCAGAGTACCTATTTTGTGAGAGGTAAAACGTCTAACTATAGGCCATCCTTATTTCTGAAGCATTATTACACCTTGCAAGCTCTCTGCATCACAGAGGAGGAACTACATTTCCCAGAATTCCCTTCCCTCCATGATTCCAACTTAGTGGTTTTTACATGACAGCAAGAGAGTGGGAGATGGAAGGATGGGCATGGTTCTCCTGAAACACTGGCAACCAGAAATATGGACAGTGATGACATTCACAGCAGCTTAGCAGGGAGTTACTGAGAACCAACAGCTTTATAACTTCAGGCTGATATCAGAGATCATTCTTCTGATCTTTGCTTCTCAGGTTCTTCCAATGTAAGCCTCCAACTGTTATATTAAAACCCGTTAGGGGCACCTGGGTGGCTCAGCTGGTTAAGCATATGAATTCGACTCAGGTCATGATCTCACAGCTCATGAGTTCAAGCCCTGAGTCGGGCTCTGTGCTGATGGCTCAGAGCCTGGAGCCTGCTTCAGATTCTTGTCTCCCTCTCTCTCTCTCCCCCTCCTTGGTTCATGCTCTGTCTCTCTCTCAAAAATAAATATAAAAAAAAACTTTTAGGGGTACCTGTAGGTTCAGTTGGTTGAGCATCCGACTCTTGATTTCGGCTCAGGTCATGATCCCAGGGTCAGGGGATCGAGCCCCATGTCGAGCCTGTGTAGAGTTCTGTGCTAAGCATGAAGCCTGCTTGGGATTCTCTCTTCCCCTCTCTCTGCCCCTCATCCTGACTCTCACTCTCTCTCTCAAAAACAACAAAAAATCCTTTATACTGAGACACAAAGAGTAGGTTCTGAGTTCTTCACCAAATCCCGAATATGTGCATTTTGCATGTGATATTTTTATTTCATCACAACCTCTCTTAATCTTGTACCAGATGCAAAAAAATGGAGGCATAAAAAGTTGTTGCTCTAGATCACAATCTATGACCAGGGGTTGATCCCTCGAGCCTATGCTGATTCTGCTTCAAGTGGAGGAGTGTTTGGGGAAAAATGCGGAGGCAGGTGGGCTAAGTGAGGAACAAGGTCACAATCTCCTAGCAATATCATTAACAGTGTGTGGGTACAGAAGCATGAGATGGTGGCAAATGTACTGACCAGCCATGTACTAAAACATCAAGGGAATGAGAAAATGACACCTCTGGTTTATCCCTCAGTGACCCAAGTTGGTGCTCGAGAAAGTCATAGTTTCACTGGGCAACTGTTTAGCCCTCTGCACAAATCAGGATGAAAAATGTTGCCTCTTGTGTTAGACACTGTAAATTAGCTATTTCATTATGTTTTACTTTCATAATTTTAAAGGTCTCCCAATCATTTTTATTGCCCATTCAATTACAGTAAACCCTTAGTGGGTAAATAATCCTTCTTCCGAAAGGTATTTATAGCAACATGTTCTTTTCTGGGCTTACCCAGACAAAACAGTGGTTTTTACTAAAAGTCCTTGGTCACTCAGTCAAATGCATCGTTCAGCCCACAGTGCTGAGTAACCGTGCAGAGAAGCCGGCCTCATACATAAGATCAATAATAACTCTAATGTACTCTGTACAGGCAAGATTGGGTACTTCCTTCATGAGAGACTAAAAGACTGTAAAAAGAATAGCGTTACTGTTAGCCAGCACTTTTATTCTTGTTTTACAAGCAATACGCAATTTAATTTGGATTTAACTTCCCCATTCAGTAGTCTGTAGTTCTTTTAGAATGCCAATATGAAGGAAATGGCAAATCAGAAGAGTCTGGTAAACGTGCATTTTAAACATAAGGCAGGCGTTATTAGATCCACCATGTGTCCAATCTTTGTTCTTGGTTCATCGGGCCACGATTCATGTCAAATCATTTATCTTATTTTTATTTCAAGACTACAACTGATACGTGATGCAGCTTAGCAGTTAGAGAAAATGATTAATAGGCCTCCTTAGCTTCTGATGAATGGTTGCTAATATAAAAATAGAGCAAAATCAACAACTACCACAGCATATACAAATAATAGTGATCCAGAAATGTAAGTGCAATCCTGCACCTGTTTCTGGGAAAGAGGGCAACGATTTGATGAGAATCTGTATTTTCCTGCCTGGGGCTTCTGATTTACAAGTCAATTTCTATTCTTAATTTATTTTCTGATAAGCCAGGAGATCAGTACTATATTTTAACCAGATTGTGTCGTAGAGGTTTTTAAACCTGTTTTCTCTACGTGTCTAATTTGAGGTTAATGGGTGCTTTGGTTCAACGAGGGTGTCTAATGTCTCTTGTTCCCATTTTGCAAGCCAAACGTTCGTTTGGACCACAATTTGTCAGATGATTATAATCTGCTTATATCCATTCAGGTGGCCACTGAATTGCCCGCAATCTGCACCATTCATCAACTTGCCTTCTTGGTTGTTAAGGGAACTGAAAACATCAGCTCAACTATTTTTTTCCAATCTGGTGTTTTTCATGTTTCCCCCACTTTCATCATGTTAGTTAATTTCTCTGTTTTTGCATTCACTTTTCCACTCATGGTGGAAAAATACATCGGAGTTTCATCATGACCACGATTTTTTTTAGCCTGCATAAAAACCTAGCAGTGTCTTTTAACCTGACCTTGACAAGGAGACTACTCAAATTTTCACAGTGAGAGATGTAGGAGGGCTCCAAAAAAATAGGCTAGTTCGGTAGCATGAGAAATGAAAGTGGAATCAGTTGCCTCTTTACCAACCAAAATTATGTCCATGTATTTCCACTATCTTCATCTATATCACACTTAGTGGAAATAAATACTTAAGTAAATACTCATAATCACTATAATATTCCTGAGGACTGTGGCTCTGTCTTCACAGATAAAACTAAGGAGAATGCTGGGCAATTATCCCACGGGTTTCATTCACAAAGACAAACGTGTAGGAAAATGTGGCCAAGTCATATGGCTTTGTCCTCAATTAAAAAAAAAAAAGTCTTTTCTTTAAATCTTTTCAATCTGTTTTTTTAATAGTAATCCAACAAATATTTAATGGGTACTTAATTTGTTACAGGTTTTTAGATATTCAAAAGATAAAAACCACCCTGAAGAAATTCTAGAAATGGGGATTCACAGAGTGAATTCAATCCCACGCCTCCTCTTCATTCCCTATCCACTCACCAAACTGTACCACTGAACATGTGACACCTCTATGAAAAATACAGGAAGCTATATAAATTACAAAATACACTCACGATGTCTTCAGCTAAGTGGAAAAAGTATGTACATTTTCCAAGAGAGAAAAACAGATTCAAAGTATATGGCTATCGCCTTCAAGGGAGAGGAGTCACTATACCATCCAGGTCAAACATACGATACCCCGTCGTACCAAGCTATTCCCCCCTGTATATTCCAGCAAAGACAAGAGACGCTAAAGAGCTTTGATGAAGACAAGGACAGAATATCGTGGAGGTATACAGAAGAACCAGCTAAACAATAAGACTGTCCAAGACTCCCTGCTTCAGGAGGCATGAATGTCCTCCCTAGCAAAATCTTTTCCCTGATCAAGAGACTGGATCTCTAGGAGATAGTGGCAAGAAATAAGCTGTGGGCGTTCACTTACTAAATGTTTGCTCATCATTTATTATTCATTGGACATATGTTCAATAAATATTTCCTGAGTATCTATCATGCGCCAGGCATATGGCATTTACCAAGAATCCCTTATATGCCAGGTAATGCGTAAGTATCAGGGATTCGTCTATGTCCTTGAGAAGGAAACTGAAAATTCTAGGAAGAACTTCAAATCCATTCTTTTCCCCCAATCAATGATGACCCAAAGCCTTCTAATTTCTATTTAGGGAAGCCACACCCATTTTCTTGGGGTAGGTTTCCCAAATACTCTGTAGGGGAAAAAAACCCTTCCCATTACGAAAATTATACATTAAAGAAGTCAAATTGGTTATTTCCAGCTTGTAAACCACTGTTAAAGAAAAAAAGAACACCCCAAGCCTAGGGCAAATCCTAGGTGACACCTAAAAATGGAAATATTTCTGGCAGAGGATATTGAGAAGAAACCACAAAGAAGGTAAATTTTTTGATCACCTTTGTCTCTACAGTACTGGAAACTTGTGGAAGCAAAGATTTCTCACTAAGAAAAGGAAAACTATGGGGTGCCTGGGTGGCTCAGTTGGTTGAGCGTCGCACTTCGGCTCAGGTCACGATCTTGCGGTCCGTGAGTTCGAGCCCTGCGTCGGGCTCTGGGCTGATGGCTCAGAGCCTGGAGCCTGCTTCCGATTCTGTCTCCCTCTCTCTCTGCCCCTCCCCCGTTCATGCTCTGTCTCTCTCTGTCTGAAAAATAAGTAAACGTTTAAAAAAAAATTTTTTTAGAAAAGGAAAACTGAGTTGTTTCACTTAAATGAGATGGAATTTTACCTGAAATGACTCCTTTTTCCTTTTTGAGAATTTAATGTAGGAGGCTGTTAACCCCTCCAGTATCAGATCTGGAACTACCTGTAGGCACCCTCCTGTGGAAACACCGAGACAGGATATACACGTCTCATAAAGATATAGATGTACATGCAATGGCTCCAGTATCAGACATACACATCTCATTAAAACCACCCTGAAATTTGCTGTGAGCAATGAAATAGATCCCAAGACCAGGAAAATAGTTCAGCTATGTGACCAATCTAAAATATACACCAGGTAAGAAAGAAGAAGATCCACTCTTAATTAAAAGCAAATACCCAGTTTCCTTCTCCTATTTTTCTCAATTTGCCTCTTCACTTAGTGTTTCAAAGTAGAAACACTTTTTTTCTACTTTCAAAGTAGAAAAACTCAGCTAGAGTTTCAAAGTAATTTTCTGATTTTCTCCATTAAGATTTCTCCTCTGTTTTTCTTTCTCCTCCTTTTTCAGACAGGTTGTCATGAGTTTGGAAGCTACTGAAAAGAGCTTAGCGCCATTAAAAAATCAACCCAACTCCCTGCTTCTCAAATATTTGATAAGAAATGTTGCCTGTGTTAAGTCTATAACATATACATTTCTTGGGGGATTATACTATACCAATTATACTGTTCCTGATTAAAATTGTAAAATGCTTTGGGGCAACTATGTTCACATTTCATATAAAAGCAAATAGGTTTACGAGTCAGAAATTTAACAGGGGCTTGGAACAACACATTAAAGAAGGAATCGTTCCTTGTGATTCAAGGTCATGTCCTGTTTTTTATAAATAGAATTCATTTAAAGTGATGTAAATAGCATACACTTCATGTTATATAAAGCAATGAAATATTGCATACACCTTGTATCATCTGTCTATATTGAATTTTTGCTATTTATTTCTACTAATGACATCTTTGCCAAAGGGGTAAAACAAGTTTTAGAAATGTTCGCTACATTGGCATAGCCACTACACATCTGCTTTTCATAATCTTGTTGCCCTACATCATCACCAATTTCTGAAGTACATTTTAGCCAGTGTTACTGTCTGTCGTGAACAACACGAACGTCAGGCCCAGATCGGGCAGGGGGTGGCATGAAACCACCTTGGTTATCAACATTTCCATAGTCAAAGCGTGTTTGCTGTATTTGCTTCTTCCAGAGCTGACCACACTTCAGAATGGCATGCGGTGACCCAAGAGTTCTCTTCCCACTTTTGGGGTCTCTCCTATTTGCAGAATCTAAAACTACAGGAGAAGAGCAGACCCATTTGGATGCGCAGCCATTGCATGTACATCTATATCTTTATGAGACTTCTATATCCTGTCTCCGTGTCTCCACAGGAGGGTGCCTACAGGTAGTTCCAGATCTCAGTTATGCAAAGAAAATGCATTCCTTTACCACAAGCACTTGCACTGCTTGTAAAAGGTCCTCTCTGAGAAAGAGGCACTGGAGAGATTGTTAAAAGTGAAGATGAGTTAGTGCGCTGACGGGCAGAATAGAAAGAATAAGACAGGCATATTTTAGCTTTGACACAATCCCAGAGGAACGGAACAAAAGGAAAGCGGGGTGGGGAGTGAGACAGAAAAGGAGAGAAATCGTGTGAGGGTTCGAACAGTTCCCTGTCTACCCTTAGAACAGGGGCAGGCGATTTCCCAAATGGGACGGAGGTTCTCAGAGAGGCCTTACACACTACTGTGTCTCAAGATAGTCTGTCTGTAGGAAAGGAAGACAAAGGACAAATCCGATGGCTCCTTCTCATTCACTGATTCCCTCCGATCCAAGTCTGCCCTTTGGAACGTCGATATCCTTCTATTTGTCTATTTGTCTCTGGGCTGTTTTGGGTAAGGACTGCATGAGCTAGAGGCCCCAGGGCGCTAATTTCGCCAGTGCGCATGCGCCATGACCAACACTGCGTGAAGGGTTTCTAAACCTGCACTCACCTCTGCAAAACTAGTGAAATTTATCTCCAGGGCTACACCAGCAAGCCAAGCAAATGTGCGCATCTAGAGTAGTGCCGAAATTGGCCCTGTACAAAGAGTAAGTCTAGACTGAGAAAGCTGATCACCCAAGGGAGGATCACTTACTCCCTCCTTTGTGTTTCTGTAGCACCTGATAGATGCCAATATTATGATTTTAACCCACTGAATCATAATTAGTTATTTATATGTCTGCCTCTCCCCCAAAAGACTGTGAACTCCTTAAGTAGGGCGACCTTACCTCGGGATTTGACCGAGTATTGGTTTCACTCCCGTTCAGATCAGTTAACACCGGGTAATTATTTTAATTCCCTCTTTCAATGACAAAGGGTCCGGTTTGGATAATGAATTACAGGATTACCATACTCATACGACAGAGGCCACGTCTTACTCAACATTCAACGTACCTGAGTACCTACTGTCACGTCTGGATCTTAACACGTGTACGAATAAGGATACAACAACTTTTTCTAAAAAAGAGGAAAGAGTGACATGATTGAACACCTGAAATAATTTGCAACGTTAAAACAAAAAAAGCGAAGGCATCGACAGTATTTGCTAAATTACGAAATGTCATTGGCTTCCCAGAATTTCATGGATGAGAGGCAAAAATGTTAAGAGGTGAACCCATCTCGGAATGATACTGGTTGATGAATAAGCAGTAAGAGGTACCATTTCCTCAGTGGTAATTCTATAGCAGCCATTGGGCATTTCACCTGCTGGCAAACATTCGACGTGCTCAGCCAGTAAGTATTCTCTGATTTTGTTTGGAGTGGAAATGTGTCCAACCAAAAATCTCCTAATTTGCTAGCTTCCATTACGAGGGATGGCCATGATATGCAGTAATAGCCTCGGAGACATAGCAGGAACCAACTGAAAAGATTTTCAGAAAAGGAGACGTTACCTCCTTCTCATTTAACCAGTAGTAATGCACACAGCCTCGCCACCAAAAATATTAAACACACACTGGTAGACGCCCCACTCCCGTGCTGCCAAATTCCATGCTTATCATGTTGCGAGAAATGAAACCCTAACTGTTCCAGCCAATGTTACTTGCATTTCTGTTGCCAACACAATTTCCCACTGACATTTCAATTCCTCCAATACCCCTGTGGAGTGGAATTATATGAAATTTTGACCTACAAAAGTAGTAATTTCATTCACTCATTCATTCATTTTTCACCATCTATTTAACAAATATTTATTGAATGCCTACCATGTGCCAAGCATGGACACACGCTAGTCAACTGGAAAAAGTGGCCCTTAGTTTCAAATATATCACCCAACTATTACTGTTTAGCCCCCCCCAATTCATAAAACTCAGTGACGGAACTAGTGAACCACATGAAAAGGATAATTACTTGAGGAGGAGTCAGACATGATTAAGATGAAAATTATACAGAAAAATTAATTTAAACCAAACAGATAATTTCCTTTTAACATTAATATGTGAGCAACTGGAAATTCAGTATCCTGTACTCTGGCTTTTACAAAGTTCAGAAAGTTGGAATTGCATAAAAATAAGGAAAATAGATTAGGGCAATTCTTCTAACGGCCTGCAGTTTAAAAAGAAAATGCTACAATTCCGGATCCATCAATGAGGTGCTTTAGTTCCTGTACGATTTCTCTTAAAAATGTAGGCCACGGACTTGGGACACCAGCTTCAATCTGAATTCACACGCAAGTTATCTTTTTTGTTTGCTTTATTGCCAAGAACAACCAGACTTGGCAGGAAGCTCTGACACACAAGGGTTAGTTCCCAAACGGTACCAAACGTGTCTTCTAAGAACTGTGGTCAGACATTCTAATAAGGTTCTTATGGGGGAAAGTAACAACTCTTGATTTAAGATCTCAAAGCCAAAACATCAGCAACAAAAAGAGTTCTTGAGTTCATTTTTTAAAAACTTTTATAAAATTAGAAGAATTTCTCTTTACTGTTTACTTTTTGTTTTTCTTAACATTCTTTCTTCTGCAGGGTCAGCTGAGTAGCTCAGTCGGTTAAAGGTCCAACTCTCGATTTTGCCTCAAGTCATGATCTCATAGTTCGTGAGATCGAGCCCCACGTCGGGCTCTGTGCTGTGAGACAGCCTGCTTGGGACTCTCTCCCTCTATCTCTGGAGACCCCCTCTCAAAATAAATAAACATTAAAAAAAAATACTGTTTCTTCTACAAAATCTTGATTTGGGAAACAAAGTATACTTTCCTGACATGTACACAGAATGAATACTCTAATGGTTCAGGAGATAAAGCAATAATTTTGAG